CAGCTGATACCCCTTTGTTTTTTAAACACCACCAACTCTTTCTTTAGATCCCTACCAACTGGCTTCTGTCTCCTTGCTCGGGCCACTTTTCCAGATTCAAAAAAGTTGGGATATGGAACAGTTCCGTATCGGGGCCACACATGTGTGTCCTATCTTTTGTGTCACATCTGTGAATAGTACGAGGTAGCAACCACTCCTCATTTGCGCCCTCTGCTCCCTGACGCCACCCAACACAGTGCCCTGAAATGAAGTCATGAGGCGGCTGTACATGTCAACTTGCAGAGCAGGAACGGATATTCCAAAAGCCATGCTAATAGCTGATCAGTTTTTAGCTGTATCTTGTCTTGTATTGATTTGATGACTAGTTTAACTTTTTTTTTTAAAGCTGACTTTTAGTGGTTAAAACTTAGAGAATGTAATTTCCTAAAACTCTGTATAAGCAATCAGGCTCACATTTTTTCTCAAGTTTGTCACTTTACTGACTTCCCAAGGAAGACGTAGTGATTTCTAGCACAGGTACAAGAGCTACGGTGAAGTACCACAGACCTGAGGAATCAACCCCTCTGGGGATTGCTCCAGTGGCAGCAACTTGCAATCCTAGGCGCCTGAGCTCCATCGACAACGTCCAGAAATGCATCCCGTTCATTTCCATAAAATGGATTTTTCCTTCACTTTCTACTAGCCCTGAATTCAATAAAAAAGCCATCATTATACAACTCCCATGCAGAAGTCATTATGCTGAGGTGAGAAAAATAAAGGCTGGTCCCCGCCTTGATAAGCCCATAGTAGAGCAGGAGGTAGGCAATTACTACATAATTATTACGTAAGGCAGACTGAGGTAAGTGCTTTAATGGAGGGACCTGCAAAGTCTAACAAGTGAGAGGCCAGACCAACCCTACAGGGGGTGGTGAGGGATGCACACAGTATGTAAAAGGACTTAGGGCTGAGCGAGGTGGTGGAGGATGGGCTTTAAAGAGACAGGAAGCCTGCTGGTAAAGGGGATAGAAAAACCAAAGACTCCACGCTGCGAAAGCTCCATGTATACCAGAGGAGCACACGGCAGAGCGCAGGGTATAAGCCACGGGAAGTCACTGAGCATTTTGTGTGTGCGTGTGTGTGGAGAGTGGGACGCACTGACATGATTGTAGTTCCACTAAAAACAACTGGCAGCACCGTGAAGAGTAAATTGGAAGGAGAAAAAGTGAAAGAACAGAAGCCAGTTAGGAAGCATGGCTTAAAAGAGGAAGCACAAGCAGAAATGGGAAGAAATATGTGAGAGTTACTAGTAAGTAGAACCTCTAAGATTTGGAATGGATGTAGCTATGGGTGGCAAGGCAGCAAGGGAATAAGACAGCTGACTACAAACTCTCGAACCTGAGCAAGTGAGGATCCTCCCGATTGAGGGACATGTAGGCTGAAGAACAGGTCTGGTGAGCTGCAAAAAGGTCGGGAGAGACAACAAGCTTGTGATTCTCATGGACTTCCACAGGAAGATGTTTGAGAATTAGGCTTGTTAGATTCACTGGAGGCCAGGGGCGCCTGGGTGGCGCAGTCGGTTAAGCATCCGACTTCAGCCAGGTCACGATCTCGCGGTCCGTGAGTTCGAGCCCCGCGTCGGGCTCTGGGCTGATGGCTCAGAGCCTGGAGCCTGTTTCCGATTCTGTGTCTCCCTCTCTCTCTGCCCCTCCCCCGTTCATGCTCTGTCTCTCTCTGTC